ATTCCTGTTAGAAACATCCTACTGCCTTGAAGTATAGTGGTACAATTTACAGTATAATCAGGTTCTTAGAGGACTAGAAATAGACAGAAGCAACAACAAAAATGCTTTAAATGAAATGACAGGATTACCAGAGAAACAACAACGAAACACGGGAAATACTATCTACTGTACCTACAAATTAGTATTATTACTACTTCAGGAAAAAGAAAGATCTAAACAAACAGATTTGATTGCAGTGGGGTTTGCCAACTCTGGGCCCATGCTTTTGATAAACAAATGTTTCATCTTCTGTGTCACACACATCACGTACACTGTATACAAAAATGCTATCGTTATTTCAGAGCAAAATGGTCTGATAAGTGCTTGATACCTTTGCTGCAATTTAGGTTGAAGGAAACTTATACTGTTTATCAGAAAACATATCAGTTACAGTGTAGGTTAGGTATAGTCAATATTTTTAATATTAGCTTTGTTCTGTTTTTTTCAGAACACAAGTGATGCAAAGAACTTGACATTTAAAATATCTCTACTTCCAACACAAACCTAAACTAAACATGGGGCTCAGAGGCAAGATTCTATTCCAGACCTGGGCTTGGTCCCATCAATTCTTCTCTACTCCTTCTGTCAGAACTTTTGTTCAGGTCTTAATTTCTCACTTTGACTACAGACATTTCTTTGTCTCCAGTCTCATGACTTCTCTATTCCTCTCCATCAATGCATCAGAAATGTTACTGAAACTAGAAGTCACCTTTGCTTGACACTCAGGCCGTCTCCAGCCCTTCTTCTAATCCCCACACTCCTAAACCAATTATGAAAAAATTGCATTATGACATATTATTGAATTACATTTTATTTACATATTTGCTGTTTATCATGTGTGTGAGTGTGTGTGTGTGTGTGTGTGTGTGTGTGTGTGTTATGTTAACAAGAATTAACTGCCAATCACTTTTAACAAAAGGAATTCTGATAATGCAGTTCCAGAACATAGGGTCATTACACTGCTTAATGTTAAACTAATCTTCTAGTCACACACTGAATTTTATGTCTGATGTAGTTGTGACTGTTTACAGGGTTCACAGGACTGCGTGTCACCTATTTACTTTCTGCCTCCGAACATGAGGAAGTATTGCTTGTGTTTAACTGATTGTCAGCTTCCTAGCATCACCAGCCTCTTAGCCACTCAAGCACTCTGTTCTGGGCTATGCCAGCCCTTACTTTGACTTGCAGTTTAAAATAGGTGCACCCCAGTCTCCGAGTCCCTTTGAAGTGTTCCCCTAGTGATATCCAGCCCATGGTACTGACTATTCACAGAAATACCATGTCCACTGTACCAAGAAGAACAGAATATATCAGCTTGTGAGATTCAACTTAGGATCAGCACTTTGCTTAACACCATAGGGCTTAGATATATTCATAGTGAAAAAAGAATACGTTTATTATCAAAGATTCAAGAGTCCAGTATTCTTACTCACTATCACTTGAAACAAATGGTTACATAGAAAACAGAAGCATAACACACTTTCTAGAGACTAAGCTTAACTAAAAGGTAACCTCCTGTCTAAAGACACTTATCTCACGGAATGCCCTCTGCAGTGTTTTCAACCAAAGCTGGTTGAGATTTCATTTTTATGAATGCAAACGTGCTGTCCTTTACTTATATATATATATATACAGGTGCAGAAAGATGGGTTATCTTCTTTGCTTTCTAGGTATACCCCCACATTCATTGTCTTTGTTTATATTGAAGGATAACCTCCCATGGCCACAGGTTTCAGAGTGGTAGCCGTGTTTGTCTGTATCAGCAAAAACAACGAGGTGTCCTTGTGGCACCTTAGAGACTAACAAATTTATTTGGGCATAAGCTTTTGTGGGCTAAAACCCACTTCATCAGATACATGGAGTGGAAAATACAGTAGGGAGGTATAAATACACAGCATGTGAAAAGATGGACGTTGCCTTACCAAGTGGGGGATCAGTGCTAACAAGCCAATTCAATTAAGGTGGAAGTGGGCTATTCTCAACAGTTGACAAGAAGGGGTGGAAATCACCTTTGTAGTGCTAATGAGGCCAGTGTAATCAAGGTAGCCCATTTCAAACATTTGACAAGAAGGTGAGAGTATCAGCAGGGGGAAATTAGTTTTTGTAGTGACCCATCCACTCTCAGTCTTTATTCAGGCCTAATTTGATGGTGTCCAGTTTGCAAATTAATTCCAGTTCTGCAGTTTCTCATTGGAGTCCGTTTTTGAAGTTTTTTTGTTGAAGAATTGCAATTTTATGTCTGTTACTGAGTGTCCAAGGAGATGTTCTCCAACTGGTTTTTGAATGTTATAATTCTTGATGTCAGATTTATGTCCATTTATTCTTTTGTGTAGAGACTGTCTAGTTTGGCCAATGTACATAGCAGAGGGGTATATATCACAGGATAAAAGGTGTTGCCCAGGTGTTGAGGAAAAATGCACGGGGAGACTCTAAGATAACAACCACTAGGTGGTGATGGTGATGATGAGAATGATAAAAATAACTGCCACACCAGGGTCCTCCAGCAGGAGATGTGAGTGACATCAGTCATAGGGCTAAAGATTTTCCATTCTCTCTCTATCTGCTATTCATTGTTTGTGGGATTGTTTATCTGCTTAACAGATTTGTTAATAAAAGGACGTGGGATAAATTGCAGTTATTTCTCATGTGCTTCTAGGGGCTCCCATTCTAATGATACTGATAAAAATATTTCTGATACTGTAACCTTTAGGAGACCAAACCGTTACTAACCACTGCAGTCAGATTAATCAATCAAGAGATTAATCAATACATCAACACATCAATAAGGTTACAGCTTCTTATAGCAAGGACCATGTCAGTCTACATTCTGTACACCACTGACCATACTGCTAGTGTTCACCAACTAATGAAAGAATAATCACCAGCCCATTTCACCTTCAGTCTTCATGTGGGCTGGTAATGTCTTTGGTAGCAAAATACCGCCATCCACTATTAATTTAAGGGTATACCTGCCATGTATGGTGCTCTGATTTTTGTGGATATTCTCGTTACCTCTTTAAAGCAAAGTGTCCATAATAATCTATTGTGTCACCTGATACTAAAAATCTATGGGAGAAAAATAATTGAATCCTTAAAAGCGCACATCTGCAACCACATGACACACACAGTTCCCATTCAGTGGGAGTTCAATCTGTATAGCAGCTATAAAACTGGGTCACAATATGTTTTTTCCTTGTGCACAACGATCCAATGCTATGAGGCAAACATGATTTTGATAAACCTTTTATGTTATACACTGATACTTCTAATATTGGGTTAGAAGCTGTAGTAATACAGAACCAAGAATGGGAAGTTCCTATGATGCATTCAGCAGTGTCTGGGACACCCCTTCCTGCATCAATTTTGCATTGGGGGTGTGATGTTATCTGATAAAATATGACCATGTAGATCATTGTTGCTACCATTGTTATATAATTGCAACAAATCTTGTACAAAATGTGGCATGTAAGATGTCTGTGGAAAGATGTCTATGAATGAATATGATTATGCTATTTGTATGCATGTATAATTTTTGTAGCTGAAGTTAGGAATATTAACTATATATCTGTATTTCTAAGGTATTTGATTCTGGGTAGCACCAACAAGATATTTAGCCAGCACATTGTGAAGGAACTATTTGAGTTGAATGGCCCATTAAAACACATTAAACTCACAATGGACCATGGGAGACGCCTATCTACAGATAATGGACTTTCTTGCTATGACTAAGTGCAGTCATGCTTGGACACGTGACTTGCCCATGTAACTCCATCTTTTCCCTGTAATTTTCCACTAGTTGTGCTGAGGGCTTTGTTTGAAACAATGGATTTCCCTCCGCATGGTAGAAGCTATAAAAGGCGCTGGGAACATCTCCATTTTGCCTCTTTCCTGCTCAAACCTCTGGACTATAGACTTATACTAATGGGAGCATTCTAACCCAGGGACTGAGGACCTTCCAATGATTTGGAAGCAACCAGAGACTTGACTTAAGTCAACAGTTTATTCCACCACTGCTCAGAGCCTGAACCAAGAACTTTGCAATTATTGTATGTATTTGATTCCTTTAACCAATTTTAACTCTTTGCATCTCAACAGCCTCCATACTGACTGGGAAATAAAGTCCATCTCCCCTCCCATCCCTCAACCCTCACAGAGATAGGGTTTTGTGATTTGTGCAGGAAGAGTGAATTTTACCACGTAGTATCTGAACTGTGTCAAATGCATTCAGCTGTTCTCTTCTTTATCACCAACATAAGTTAAGGTTGTGAATTTGCTGCCTCCCAATGATTTTGTTTCAAACTCCCATTGTGTTGCATATTGCATTGTGCCAAATCGTTTTATGCTTGTTAGAATGATATAGATATTAAAATGCTCTTTCAACCCATGAATAATAAGTAAACATTTCTGGTTCCTTAGTATATAGATGTAATTCTGGCATTCCATTATAGCTCTAACTGAGAAGTGCATTTTATTTTTCATGCTAGTTACCTGCCACAATTTTAGGTGGTTTTTTTTTAAGCCAATTTTTGTGGTTAATTAGCAAGCAGAAATCTTGATGAACAGCAGGTATTTTTATGTTACCCATGAATAGTTCTATCTACAGTGCATGCTCATTTCTATTATCTTCCAAAAAAAATCTATGAGCAGAATGCAGCTGCATGCTGGGTTATTGACAGGATTAAAGGAAGCACACAGATAAAAGAAAACAACGTGCTTGGGGAAATAACTCTTTTTGCCCATAAAATATAAATCACATATTCATAATTGGAATGTGCTTGGGGATTTCTGTGCTTACTACAGTATGTATACATCTGCAGTTTTACTGCATTCCTCCAGGAAAAAGAAAAGAAAATGGCTTTTATAAGAGAGGTATGAAAAGATAGTCTTGGATTCCCCTTGCTCCCCTAACTTGCATAGTCTTGTATAAATGGAGTCTAACTGAGTATTTATGTGCTTCTCAGGGCAAGTGCTGTGACTCATTTCTGGATTAAAAGATACTGTGTTGCTGTGAGAGAAGCCTGGGTAAAGTTTGATGAAAGATCACTTCAATTGTACTTCCACTGCCTGAGGTAAGAAGAATTAGATGTTTGGTGCAGCTCCAATTAATTCTGTTGTTGTTGCACCCTACTTTTTTTCCCCCACAAACCTACAAAATTTCACTACATTTACAATTAAATTAACAAACAGGTACAGTTAAGAATTTTGCAAATTATTTCCAGTTCATTTGCCAGAAAAAAAAGCCACATAAATTGTTCCAAATGATTTCCCCATCTCTCATTACAATTATTAGCCATGATATTATTTTGATATTAGTTGATATTTTTATGGGCTCTTCTCTCTTTACATTATGGCCAAAATTCTCAGACTTGATGTCTAAAGCTCGACACCCCAGTGAAAGGAAACTACAGTGTTCAGCACGTTTAGGTGCCCTACTATGAACGTAAGTGCCTAACTTTAGGTACCTGTGTTTGAAAATTTTGGCCACATGCCTCTGTCTCTTCACATACCTTTTATTTGGAATCTCCTATTTTAAATAAAATGTTGGATTGCAGGCACACACACTAACACTGCAATTGTTAAGGAGATATCAGTATTTTCATAATAATGACTTTGAGTGGTTAATAACAGAGTTGTTAGAAATGTGCTCCAGGTAAAAACATTGATATATAAGATATGCTCAGCCCAGGGGGCAAGAGAATGTTCCAGTAAATTTGCATGCATTTTATTTTTAATTCACAAAATATGTTGGGTATATCTGGGGACTTTTGAGGTCATCAAAAATGACAGCATTTTGGTGATCAAAATACATAAAGTTTTCCACTTTCCTTTGCCAGTGACACTGAACCTTGACCTAGAACTGTCTAGGTGCTTTTCCTAACAGAATTTTCCCAGTCGTGCTAAATTATCCCAGAGTTTATGGTGGAGCAACACCATAGTTAAATTTAACTAAGCAATAAATTGGGATCACCAATCTCATTATCACATCTAACCATGGGCAGATTTGACCTCAGGTCTCCAGACATGAAAGACAACTAAAAAGCTAGTCCATTTACATTTTAAGTGCAGAAAAGCAAGAACCAAAATGTGCTCTAGTGCCAGACATTCTTTGAGCTTTGTATTATTTTCAAATACAGCTTGAAAAGTAGACTCACTGATTGAAGTGCTCACCAGTGCTCTGGCCCCTGTGCTGGGTCAAAGAGCCAGACTGAGGTGAAGGGAGCCCTAGTTGCCTGGATCCAGCTAAAGGAGATAACGCCAGTCTGTCTTCCTAGGATTCCCTTGCCAGCTCTGGCATGCTAGGGGTAGAAATGTAACACATGATGCTGTTAAGAATCTGGGCAGTGCTAACACACATTGAAAATTCGGGACAGGTTGCTGTAACTTACACAGGTCTGAGGGGTTAAGTTATGCCAGGAGCTGCTCTGGACCCCGGAACAGCTCAGAATCAGGGGGCATATCGTGACTTAAACCACCTTAGCCTCCCTCCTCCTGGACTGCAAATACTCTGTGGTGCCTCTTAGAAGTTCAGTATATAATCTCACCCATTGTTTTTAAAGAATATAATTGAAATTAGTCGAGAGACCTATACAATGGTGTCTATTTTTTATACCTTAACATATTTCCCTCATGCTCAGCAAAATAAAACTCTGTTAGACAATTAGTGTCATTTCATGTATAGCTAAATCCCAATTGGGTCTACAAGAGACTCAGGAAGTATAGGACATACTCACAGCTCTGGTAATTCAGGTTAAAGGCAGCCCCCTCCAGCAGAACTTGCTAGGGATGTAGAGAGTGTCAGCTCTGGGGGTTCTGTGAAAAAATGTTAAGTAATGTGTTCAGAAAATGTTACTTTATGTATAGGGTTGTAGGAAGTAAACCCTGTGGTTGGACATGAGCCAGTGATTTAACATCTGAGGACTCTGTAAAGGCCCACTGTGCTGCTAAGAGCCAGTTCAGCAAGGCCTGAGAGAAGGAAGAGAGCCTGGGATTGCTATCTAAAAATGTTTTTTTTTTTTTCCAGGACTTGGCAGAAGGTTTCAGGAATGGATTCTCGAGACACCAGAGACTAGTCCATTGGCACTGTATGAATCCAGGATACCAGGAAGATGGCACGGAGATTCAGTTCAGAGGATGTAGGACCCAGTAGCGTCTAAGAAGGAAGTCTGAACTGGGATTTGAAATAGGGCCTTTCTATGCTTGAGATGAACAGTAAATGAGTTCATTCATGGGTTTACTTGTAAGTAATAAAGTTCATTAACCAACTCTGGAGTGGAGCAGTGGTGGCTGGATATTCCTGCAGTGGCCTTCAAAGAACTATATTTATCAGCAAGCACGCAAGATCCTGGGGCACAGAGTCCGTGGAATAGGGAGCAGAGTGCGGAGTAACACAATATAAAGTTTCCAAGTTCAAAGCTGGGTGTTGGTAGCAGTTACCTGAACCTGGGATGTAGGAAACCTACTTTCTTCCACCACTCCTAATCTTGTGGAAACATTTCTGCAGTTAACCCACAGTACCCAGCCTCTGGGGTAAGTGTGGGAATGGGGCCTGAAAGATTCCATTTTCTGTGGCATGTTCCCCAGGTCTCAAACCCATAGTGATTTTTCTCACAAGGTAAATAATGACCACCTGTCAGAATTATCTTATCTGGTGCCCTCCTTCTTCCTCAGTAGTATGAAACCTGCTAAGGAAGGGCACGGGGCAGTAGCCAGTGGGGACTATATGGGAACATTAACAAAGGACGTGACTGTGTGAAGGCATCTTGTGATATCCATGATTTTATGGGCCCATTCCCCTGCCTATTCCATGGGCTGGGGCTGGAGCCTAAAACACACCCCAATGGGATAATTTTGAGAATCCTCTGAGAGATGATTCTCAAGGAGTTTTGTATTGGATTTGTCCCCTCCCATAGTTTTCACTCTTCTATTAGAGAAAAGTGGGAGGCTTTATTATGCTCTAAGGACTATGAAAAATGGCACATTTTTTATATAACCTTATCAATTACAGCTGGTCAGAAAATGGGGGGAAAGAATCAGTCCAGAAAAATCTTCATAATAACCATATCAGTGAAAGTAAGGAATTACTAATTGTCTCAGAAGATAGTGAGTCAGGGAACACTAACCTGAAGATAAGTTTAGGCTAGACATTGGGAAAAGTTCTTAACAGTAAGAACAATAGGGAAGCACAATAAATGACCAAATGAAATGGTTAGAGTGACTGTTGAGGCAAATATTAGATAGGATGGTAATGGGAAAGATGAAGTTAGTAGTCTTGTAAATGCAGGGATTCATACTAGATCCATCTATCCTAACACTACTAGGTAGAAATTTGTGAGTTGTTACAATGGTTACAACTGGGGAGAGTAGAGAGCTGAGAACAGCCCTGGGTTCAGAGCCAGCAGGGCAAGCTGGTATGATGTTTTGTTGCAGTGAACCAGATACAAGAACCAATGAAATAGACATATAGTTCAAAAACCCAATGAAGGGCTAAAAACACAGCACCTGTCATAAAAGGCATTCTACTATTTGGGTAAATATGAGATTCTGCTGTCTTTAGAACACACATAGGAAACCCCAGGGCACCTAAAGAAATGACTAGAGACCTTTGAGGCTGGGGCGTGGGCAGAGACAAACAAGATAAAACTTTACAGAAATCTGGGAACTGGAATGCGACAGTTAAATGTAGAAAGGTGCCAATGGCTACTAGGTTTTAAGATTATGATAGAATGTGCCTGGTTCTCCTCCCACTTCCATTGGTGTAAACTGGGAATAACTCTAGTGAAGGTAATGAACATACATGGTGTAAAAGTGGTATTAGCCAGAGAATAATCCAGCTGAATACGTAGACTCTAATTCAAAAGAAATGTAATATTAGGGTTCTGAGCCTGTTCCAGTAGATGGAGCTATGGAACAGAAATACAAATTTAGTGTTAAATGTGTTTTGAATTAAAGCAGACATGTTTGTCTCAACACTGAGTTTCTGTTCTTTCTGGCTCACCAGCACACACAGCCTTCCATATTTCCTAGACAAACACAAATCTTTTGGGTTTCGCCATGATTTATAATATGGTTGGTTGCACTGTCTTTATATATGTATCAAGTTCATCACAACAAATATTCTGCTGTTCTGGTATGCAATTTTTGGTTTGTGATACAAGGAAGTCATTTTCTTGCAGTAGATTATTTACATTGCTGTCAAGTGATAATAGCCTATCGATCGAGTCGCACAAATATTTTACAAGTTTCAAAGTAAAATCTTTTCCACTAAAAATGCCTGAAATCTTTCAAGTAGCTACATTTTAAGTTGGCAAGGAAGAGGACTGTAGCTGTTGACAGACTGAAAGTAATTTCTGTAGCTCTTTGCTGTGGGTTGGTGGTTTCCTTCTACGGTGTGTTCATTTGGAAATCCTCCAACATGTCAACCACCTCTGTGGCAATTGTGAACTGTGATTGGAAAGTATTCAACAAATTGCAGATACTAGCTATTTTCTCTGCCATAAATGCCAACTCCAGCTGCTGCCTCAACTACTGTACTTTGTCATAAAGAATGTTTGAAAAAAAATCAAATTACGGCTTACCTAGGCAATGTTTATAGTGTAGGGTAGATGTTTGTACATAAATTCCATATACATCTGTGTAATATTTGCTGGGTCTTATATACAATGCACATTGAAAAGACTAAGATCAACATTTTTCTGTTAACTTTTTGGCATTCCATTGACAAAAGGAAGGATCGCCAAAGGAGTTAAAAGGACTGTATCTCAAAAGCTGTTTCTACTATTTCCAGACCCAAGTTGTATGTGTAGTGCATTGCCTATACCAGTACTAGTTGGAAAGGTATTTTTTATACGGCACCTTATACATTTATTAATAGTCAAAAAACAGGTTTTAACAATAAGCAGGTGCCTTTTCACTTGACCATAATAATGTATAAGATGCATGATCTTCAAAAAATTAAGGGATGGTTTCATAAACTCAGTCATCACCATTAGAATATCACCAAGTGCCAACACCATGGAATCTGAGATAAATACCACAGTTATGTCCTATGCTAAATACAGATAAATAGCTCTGGTATCTCAGATAGCAATGTGTGGTACCTTTTGGCAGAAGCTGAATTTTTAATAGCACTACAGAATCCCAATAGTTATTTCATAGCCTGCTATTACAATTGACACTCCTGCTGGCAGAGAAGAGAAGCTAAGACTGAATGGGCATGGAGTTGGAACTATCCCCACAGTCTTCCAAAATAGTGTCAAGCCACATTGGTAAGACAGTAAAATGAAGAAATTTGCATCACCGCTGTTCTGTACTTTTTCTATGTACAAATATGAGTTCTCAATCTCCTGAACTGTCAATGTGGCACCTTTCACGAGTACTAAATTACCTACAAATTAAAAACAAAGAACAAGGAGCCTTTGCTAATTGAAGGCAGTAATAAGAGGATCCTGACTGTGTTAGTATAGGGGAAGATTATTTTTTGTCTGCTGTTCACAAGGGATCTCAGTACTTTGTAGTTACCTCGTAAGTGATGCAGATGAAAAATGACCTGCCCCTTCACCATCTCAGAAAGGAACAGCTGAAGTGACTGCAGAATTTCCATGCTGTGACCAGCAGGCTTTCTCCAATTCATTCGGTTGTTTTTTAAAAAAAATGTAACAAGAAAATGAAATCAGGCTGCAAAACATGGTACATGATCAAATTCCCTACCCTTAATAGCAGATATTATACCATATTTGTTTCATTGCCAGAAGTCACAGGGGAGGAATGGGCATTACACTTTGGTGTTCTAGAGGATATTTAGGAAGAAAAACTGTTCTTTTTTAAACCAATAAACTAAACTGTACAAGGGTTTGGTCACAACAAGCTGGATCAGAGTCACAGTGAATGCTTAGACTTCACTCTTGGAGACTATGTTGCTCTTGGGTATTAGTATGTTTAGAGGTGTTTAAAAGAGGAATCATCAACTCTGCAAGGTTATTCCATCTTGACACATCCTGGTGTCACTCCATTATATCCAACAGAATTATGTCTCAGGTAAATTTGTCCTGTTCCATTCAATCAGGCTTTAAAGAATCACATCCTGGTTCAGCAGATTTCTGAATCGACAAAGCAAAAGAGGACAGTGAGAGTCAGGTCAAATGAGTCTGACTCTCTAGCTAAAAATGTCAGGAATGACGTCAATAACGAAGAGAAAAGCGAATAGATACTGCAGGCCCATCTGAGGACAACTGCAAGCCCTGACCTAGAGACATTCATATATGCTTAAAAATGGACACTTTGATAGTAAAAAAACAAATATCAATTTTAAGAGTTTGGTTCTCTCCTGTAGTTGAGCTGTACTTGGCAGAAGGGGCAGGGTCATCAGGGAGCCAGTCAAAGCTTCCTGATTCTGAGGGCCAACAGCTCTAACTTGTGTCATAGACTTGGGATCCTTATTAGACTCCATGCCAGTGGAGCATAGACATGTGGAGCTCCTCCATTGACCTCCCACCTTCTACGTGCCCAGATATGCCCCTTTTTCTTGCCCCTGAAAAGTCCCATACACCAAGGGGAGGTAGCAGGTTTCTCTAGAATACTTGTACTAGCAAGAAACTCCCCTCTGGCAGGAGAATTCTATTCTTTTGTCCCCTTTGCATCTCTGAGCTGCTGTCAGAGGGGCTAGATAGGATTACAGAGTTCACCCATAAGTATATATTTTACCAGGGGCACAAAGATATAAAACTAAACATAATATTATTGAAATAATAATGCAATGAAACCAATGAAATGAGTTCATAGCCACTGTAGATTCATTAACTAAAACTCTGAAAGAGAGAGCCTGAGACATAAGGCCTTGTATCAGAGGCCCACTATGATGCCTGATATAAAGCAAAGTTAGAAAAAGTCAGGCTGTGAGCAGAAGTCAGGCTCTGCCTGCGTGCAGGCTCACAGAACCTGGCAAGAACAGGGCTGGTATTGCAAAAACACACACATTCCTGAAAAGTGCTAGGCACAGGACACTCATGCAAACACATTCCAGAAGGGTGGTACCAGAACACCCTGATACCAAGTATGGTACAAACACATACCCCAAAAAGAACAAGAACATGCTGACCCTCCAAAAGATAAGGTCAGCATGATAGTGTGATGCAGGGGTAGGCAACCTTTCAAAAGTGGTGTGCCGAGTCTTCATTTATTCACTTTAATTTAAGGTTTTGCGTGCCAGTAATACATTTTAATGTATTTAGAAGGTCTCTTTCTATAAGTCTATATTATATAACTAAACTATTATATGTAAAGTAAACAAGGTTTTCAAAATGTTTAAGAAGCGTCATTTAAAATTAAATTAAAATGCTGATCTTACACCACCAGCCTGCTCAGCTCGCTGCCAGCCTGGGGTTCTGTTCACCGAGGCCGGCAGTGGGCTGAGCAGGGCCTGCGGCTGGGACCCCAGGGGGGGAGGTGTTTCAGGGGTCAGGGCAGAGGGCTGGGGGAGTGGAGGGTGCAGGGCAGAGGGTCGGGTGTGTGTTGGGGTGTGGGGGGGGTTCAGGGCAGAGGGCTGGGTGTGTGGAGGGTGCAGGGCAGAGGGTCGGGTGTGTGTTGGGGTGTGGGGGGGGTTCAGGGCAGAGGGCTGGGTGTGTGGAGG